CTCCCGCCCGAACTCGCGACCGCTCAAGATGGCGTCCATGTGCTTTCGGGTGCTGGAGCCACGCGTGAGTGGGGGCGCGGGGGCCAGGAGGGTCAGGGTCGGGGTGGGTGGGCTTCAGGCCCCAGTCTCACGCCAGGTACCCCACAGGTGTTGTTCTCGAGCCAGGAACTGCCTGGACTCCGGCGCACCTTGCACACCTCTGCCGTCTGCGCCAAGGTGAGCGCCGTCCCGGGGAGGGCGGCCGGGGCGGGGCCGGACTGCGCGGTGACTGCGCCTTTGCTTCTAGAACCGGGCGGCCCGAGTGCGCGTGAGCAAAGGGGACAAGCCGGTGACCTACGAGGAGGCGCATGCCCCTCACCACATCGCCCACCGGAAGGGCTGGCTGTCGCTGCACACAGGTGAGGGGCTAAGCCGCGGACCCCGGGTGACATTAAGTTGGCATTAAGGGCAGATCGGAAATCAGATAAGTAGTAACAAACCAGACAGAACATTGGTCTGAATTTGCAGATGAATGCAAAACTGATTTCCTTTTAGGGACCCAGAAACTAATTGAGGCTCCAAGGAGCTAAAGTTATTTGCATGTCTGAAGACAAGATTTTGCACTGCTGAAGTTTTCTCTAACATACAGAGATGTGAAATAGCTCTGAAGTAATTAAGTGACGCCTCCATAGAACCCAGGTGTGCCCTAAATAAATAACCCAGCTTAAGCGCAAAGTTCCCTCTACAAGTATGTACAACCAAACCTCTATGGTGGTACTGACCTCATGGATATTAGGCAAGGGTTTTACCCCTGAGCTACATCCCCAGTCCCTGCATTATTTTTCTCTGTTCTTTTGGGTGGTACTGGAATTGCACATGAGGCCTCAATGAGCTACATTCCTAACCCTTTAAAAATTTTTATTTTGAGGGGTCCGGCAATGTAGCTCAGTGGCATTGTGCCTGCCTCTTAAGTGCAAGGTTCCGAGTTCTATTTCCAATACCAAAAAAACCCTGAAGTCCCTAAGTTGCCCATGCTGGGGTCTGACTCTTCTATTGACTAACATTTATCTGTGCCCTCAAAGTCAATGTATGGTGGCACTTTCAAAGTCCTATAGGGACATAGGCAGAGCAACAAGCTCTCTTACTGTGCCCTTTTCAGAGTCTGGGGCCAGATTTTTTACGTTTTTTGTTGTGATTTGCTACTTAAAATGGCCCGAAAGCACTGTTGCCCATTCCTAAGCACCAGAAAACTGGTATGTGCCTCATAGAGGAAATAAGTATTGGGTGAGCTCCCAGCTCTGTTCACACCCAAGTTACAGTTCCATTCACTGAGGGTTTGGTATTAATGAATTGATGATATACATTATACAGTGTCTTGAAATGGAAGGGCATGTGGACCTGGGCCAGATCCCTGTGTTCTCGGATTCAATTCCCCCCCCCCCGGCACTGGGGGTCGAACTCCGGGTCCTTGTGCTTGTGAGGCAGGCGGCAACACCACTAAGCCAAATCCCTGGCCCTCGGATTCAACTTTTTAATACCACAAAAATAAGCAAATAAGTGAATGAGTAAGTAAGTAGCTAGCTAGTGGCCTCATCTGTGTAGCTCATGGTTATGACTGATGCTCCTAGAACCAGCCAAGAAATACTGAAAGGGGCTGGATATGGAACTGTCACCTCTTTTGTGCCTGGTTCAGGCCTTGGTCTTTCCTTTTGTGAAGGGACAGTGATAGTACTTGCTTCACAGGGTTGGATTGGAAATAAAAAAATTGATTTTTTTTTTTTTTTTTAATTGGAGCTCAAACTCAGGTGCTCTAGCACTGAGCTACATCTCCAACCTGTTTTAGATTTTATTTTGAGACAGAGTCTTGCTAAGTTGCCAAGGCTGGCCTCCAACTTTTAAGCCTTTTGCCTCTCCCTGCCATGGAGCTGGGATTATAGACCTGGCATGAAAGAATGTGCTTTGAACTTTAGTATATGTGCTGCCAAAGTGAGTACTGTGCTTTGAACTTTAAAATGTTATATTTCTTGTTCCATGAATAAAAGAAAAGGAGGAGGCTGGGTAAGGGGTGCACCTGAGGACCCAGTGCTCTTGGCTGTGAGCTCTGGAGTCTTGGCAGTTCTCTGGGAACAGGGCTGACTCGTCTCCAGTGCCTTCTCCTCAGGTAACCTGGATGGGGAGGACCATGCTGCGGAGCGAACGGTGGAGGATATATTCTTTCGGAAGTTCATGATGGGCACTTTCCCAGGCTGCCTGGCCGACCAGGTGGTTCTGAAGCGCCGGGCCAATCAGGTGGACATCTGTGCCTTGATCCTGAGGCAGCTGCCTGCCCACAAGATCTACTTCCTCGTGGGTTACAGTGAGACACTGCTGTCCCACTTTTACAAGTGTCCCGTGCGACTCCACCTCCAAACTGTGCCTTCAAAGGTTGTATATAAGTACATCTAGGATGGTAACCTATTCTTCATGAAGCTGTAACTGGTGGGACAGAAACATGGGAAGGACTAAAGTAAAAGGGCTGCATCGCCTCTCAGGAAGAGGAATGGCCTCTGTGCTACTGTGGAACCTAGATCTTCATGCTGTCTGGGCCCTTTCTCTGTACTCTGTGGGGAAGAAACTACAGTTGGGTTTCTTGAGGTGCTTCAGGGGTCCCTGGGAGGCTGCTAGGTGTGTGCAGTGTAGCTACTGGCCTGTGGTCAGTGAGGACCTTCTCACCCAGGCACTTTACCTAGAGTTCCTTGTTTCTGTCAGAACAAGACGATCCCATTTGAATGTAATAAAAATGAAAAGAGTCTGGACCTGGCCCATTTGTGTTTGCTTCCAACACCAACCACATTTCTCTGCTCAATGCACTCCCTACCCTTGTGAACCATCTGCTTCACAGATATGTTTACCATCTCTCTGAAAAGGGTTTCTCTCCAGCATCTCATGAAATGGGACCAGTGTGCAGCCTCTTCAGACTGGCTGGTGTGCATAAGAGCAGAAGTTGCTATATATGTTATATATCCTTTATTAAAATATTGAGTATGGCCGGGCATGGTGCCGCACACCTGTAATCCCAGCACTCAGGAGGCTGAGGCAGGAGGATCACTGTGAGTTCAAGACCAACCTGGGCTACGTGGTGAATTTCAGGTCAATCTCAACTATGCAGTGAGACCCTGTCTCAAAAAACAAAATAAAACAAAGCATACAAAAATATTGAATATTTCACATACCATGTAACTGATAGTCATACATTTGTACAACCATCTACACAGGCAGTGTTAGGACATTTCATCAGTCCTTAAGAAACCATGACATTCACAGTTGCTTTTTATTTTAACCAGGAATCAAACTCGGGACGTTGTGCTTGCCAGGCAGGCATGGCACCACTGAGCTCAATCCCCAGCCTCACATTCATTATCCCCACCCTTCTGACAACATTTACATCTGTCTCTCAGTTTTCCAGGACGCATCCTCCCCCCTTTCCCTCTCCCTCTCTCTCACCCTTTTTTCTTTAAACTTCAGCTTTTATTAGTACACATTTGCAGTATATAACGATCATAGGGGTTGTTACACGTACATGTAATGACACATGACACACATGTACATCATACTTACTACTTTTCCTCCGTGTCATCCTCCCAGACTGGCCTCTTGCATTCAGCAGCATGTGTGCAAGCTTCACCCATTCTTTGTCCAGGCGCTAGTTCTCCCCTTGGTCTGCTAGGAAGCTATTCAACTGCACAGATGTGCCCTGGCTGGGCTACTCAAGTCACCTAGTGCAGGTCATGGTGATGTCTTAGCTATTTTCTCCTTGCTCGACATAATACCCTTGTGAGGCCCACGGTTCCTCTATTGCTGATTGACAAAGTTCCAGCAATGACGGGCCTCTGTTTGAAAGCATCACTCCAGCTTTCATTTTTGCTTGCACTTTTGATTGGCTTAATTGTAATTATGGGAAATTTGGTTCTAATGAAAAAACCTGTACAAGCTACTTATGAGAAATATGTGTCAGTTGTGTCAGTCATTGAACCCCTAAGTGCGACCCTTGATCCTTTCTTTGAAGGGGTTTCAATAATTGAGGATTTCACAAGAGACCCCCAGCTTTCTTCCAAGTGTCCAATTATAAAAATCCCAGAGAGGTGCTCAAAGATTTGTGGTAGAGTGATCTCATGGCCACTAGGCAACCCCCCCCTTGTTTTCTACACTAGTGCTTACATAGATGAAGTTAGAATGGTGTGGAAAGATGAAAAATGAGTAAGATATCAAGATTTTCCCTTTGTAGAAAGAATGAAATGTTCAGGAACACAGTGATGTCTACGCACTAAAGAACAAGTAAATACTATTGCCAGGCAGCTGAATAGTTGTTATAGAAAGGTTAGTAAGTGCAAAATACTTGCTTTCTAACTATATAAAATAAAAGTTTAACCAAGAAGTTGAATAACCACAGTAGTTCTTTATCAAAACCTAGTGACCTGCTAAGAGTTGGCTGCAATCTTCCCAATGTAGCCGAACAGACGTATGAACTTTGAAAAATGCTGGCAAGCTTGGATTGTTCTTTTGATTTTGCTTTCATTTATGCTTTTACTAGGAAATTGTTTGATTAATAATAGCTGAAGCAATAGATAAAATGTTCCTAGAAATAACAATAATAAAATAGGTATGTGCTGTAGTTTATTGGAAAAATGATCGTAAAAGTTTTTATCAGAAATTATAGATGTATGCTAATTTCCATATGTAACCTTACTATGATATAAATGAAGTCCTCCAATGTTTGGAAGGCACACCACCTCATACCCACAGAGTGTGTCTTATTCCTTCACAAGTGCTGACTCCAACCCTCCTCCTCAAGACCTGAACTCTTGCCAAGGCTGGACCCCGGCAATACCCACCACCCACAATTTAAAGGAGAAAAGGTTTATTGTAGCTCACAGTTGTACAGGCATCAGTCTTTAGTTGGCTGGTTCCAAGGCAGGGAAGTATGGCAGAGGGGCACTGTAGGCAGGAAGTGTAGAGAAGGTTACATTGGGACACAGATTGGAATAGGAACTGCAGTTGTGGTTCCACACACGGAGCCACAACTCACATGTTCAACGCTGCAAACAGTCTTGAGAACCATCTGATAACATTCTGGGAACAGTCTCTTTGAGAAAGTATATGAATAACTAGAACCAGGTGTTCATAAAAAATATTTTCTAATGCTTTGCTAGAGCTAATCTGTAAGGAACTAACTGTTTATTCTCATGGAAGTATTGTGCACATATCTAATAAAAACGAGGTTAGTGAGAGTTGGCTGCTGTTTGCCTGTGAGAGCTTTAGCCCTCTACTCCTCAGCAAAATTACATTCCTGCTATCTGGCTATCCTTTGCGTCCTGATTGACAGCTATTAGGGCAGGAGGGATATGCATATATACCCTCTAGGCCATGCCCCAGTACCCACCCTCTTCCTACCCAGCTTCACTTCCCAACATCACACCCAGCTATAAACCCATCATCTTTTTTTATTTTTTATTTTTTTTGGTACCGGGGATCGAACTTGGGTCTTTGCACTTGCAAGGCAGGCGGCGGCGGCAGAACCACTGAGCTAAATCCCCAGCCCAATATAAACCCATCAGTGAACTAGTCCAGTATCTTTCACTAATAAGCCAGTCACCCCGCCCACAAACCCCATCTATGAGCTCATAAGGCTTTGGGGTAAATGTAGATAAATACCATTAAACTGATTTTCAGGGTTTCTGTGAAATTGCACAGGGGGCTGCCCGCCAACCCAAATACAGCATTCAGCATCTTGTGCTGCCTCTTGGACTCGACAGAGGGCGCACAAAATTTGTACTAAGAGCCTGGTGTGCAGCTCATTCCACTAAAATAGTCCCTTTCTAGGTACCTTCCCAAAACAGCTAAAGCCATCATATTACAGTGATCTACGCATACCTGTGCTTATGGCAGCTCAATTCAGCTAACTGAATCTTGGAGGTGGCCATATGTCCATCAACAGATGAATGAATAAGAAAAATTTATATACAACAGTACTACAATGAGAAATTGGGGAGTGACTTGGCACAGGGATTATGGGAGGCACCTATTAAGACTTATATCTAGATGACTCTCCCCCTGCCCCAAATTTCATGTACTCATAGGTGGGGCTTTGGTAGGTGACTGCATCCTTGGGTGTGTGATAACGAATTAGGCCACTGATAAATTCACAACTGGGTGTGGTGTTGGGAGGTGAAGCCTGGTAGAAAGAGGTGGGTCACAGTGTGTGTGGCCTGGAAGGGTGTAGGTATATTCTCCCTCCTTTGATGGCTATTGCTTCCTACCCACCTTGCCATAAACTCCTCCTCTGTTACGCCTCTCTACCTTGGAGCCAGGCAAATATGGCCTGAAACCTCTACAAATTGTCAGCTAAAATAAACCTCATCTGCTTTATTTTTACTTATTTATTTTTTGGTACCAGGGATTGAACTTGTGACCTTGCACTTTCGAGGCAGGTGGTGGCACCACTGAGCTAAATCCCCAGGGATCTTCTTTAACTTGTAGGCACTGGGTATTTTGTCCCAACAATGAGAAAGAACCTAAGACTGCATCTCCTTAAGATCCTGTTTTATTCCACTATCTACATCACAGCAGTTTTCCAGTTGATTATTACAGCCACCCAAAGGTCCACAAATTAATGAGTGACAACCATTATTTTCTCTTGCTCTCTTACTGGGGTTTGAACCCAGGGCCTGACTTGTGTTGGCAAGGGCTCTACCACTATCACTGCAGAGCTACCATATTCAGCTCTTTATATCTTTTAATTTTATTTATTATACTGGCGGTGATTGGGAATGGAACCCAGAACCTTAGCACTCAGCTTCACCCACAGCCCTATTTTTGATTTTCAGATATTGTCTCACTAATTTGCCCAGGTTGGCTTTGATTTGTGATCCTGCTCAGCCTCACCAGTATTATCTGTGTTATAGGTGAGTGCCACCACCCCCATTAAATGGGTTTGAAGAAACTTAGCATATGAACTGCTTGTTAACAAGTTTAAAACAGACCTGACTTTTCATGTCCTAGAATGCAGGTGTACACAATGAAGGTGGGTTTTATAACCACAATACTTTTAAATGTGCAGGCCCACGCCTGTTATCCCAGCCATTCCATTCAGGTGGCTGAGGAAGGGGCATCACAAATTTTAGGTCATCCTGGGCAGTGTAACGAGACACTGTCCATATAAGTAAAGAAATTAATAATAATAAGAAGAATGGCTTTGGAGATATGGTTTAGTGTACAGCATTTGGTTAAGAAGGAAAGACCTTTAGACCTCTGAGTTTTATACATACATATAGCATTCCCCATCGATGTTACGCGATTGGGGACCATCCCAAACCATCAGACCCGGGACTCCTGGCCACCAGGGGGACACCCTATTAAACAACCACGACTTTAGGTCTAGCAGGTCACGCAGAGAGCTGTGGGAAACGCTGTCTAACCTCTCAATGACGGGACATAGAACCGGAAAAAGCGTTTCGCTTTTTGCTTGCGTCCATTTAGTCCCGCCCACAACCGCCATCTTCCTAACGGAAGTTCCGGGTCTTGCTCCGCCCAACAGCTGCTTTATAGCTGAGGGCTTGCGCTCTGACGCTCCGAAGGTGGGTGGGAGGAAGAGAGAAATCTGAATCTTGGGGAGTGGGACGAGATTCCCGCTTTTTGCGGCAGTGAAAAAGCAGGAGGGTGTGGGCGGCGGGACCTTGGTGCACAGTTGAGGGCCAACCCGAGTGGGCCTAGGAGGCGGCGCGAGCCCCGTGCTGGGAGGGGAGAGTCGGCTGTGCTTTCCTGACTGCTGGCTCAGGGGCGGCTCGTGCTCCGGGTGTCCAGAGCGTGGCTTCCAAAGCTGCGAGGCAGACGGTCGACTGGCGAAGTCCACGTGGCAGGGCCGGGGGTCTGCGGACTACGGTAATCGGGGGCTTGCGCCGAGTTCGCCTGGCAGCTCTGCCCCTGAGCAGCTTGTTCTTACCTGTGTGACATCAGTTTGCCCGTCTTTGAGACGAGGGGAGGAACAGTCTGTGATCCTTCCTGGTAACCCATTTGAATGGACCATAGACAACTAGCCGATTAGTAAAGCACGGCTCTGGGTGTGTCTATGACTGACGTGTGGGCCAGCAAACTGAGGTTCAAGGACCCGCCCCGGACGTGGCTGCACCAGCCAATAGGCTTGTGGCCCGGATGGAGGGGCGTGTGCTGGGTTTTGAAGCGCTCCAGCGGTGAGCTGGTGAGTCTTTTGCCGCGGTCACCTTTGGTATAGTTCTTCAGTCCTCCGGTTTCTTGAGTTTCCTTGCACATAGTGGCAGGCGCAGTTGTACAGCGAACTTCCAGGCCTTCGTCTTTGGACTAGTGCTGTACCCTTGATCCCTCTAGTTCTATGGATTCCTTGTTGGACTGAGTAGTTACTGGATCCTCTGGCTCTCCTCCATCGCTCTGACGGCCATTGTGGATTCGCCCACCTCTGATTCTGTAAGCCTACTAGTAAACCCCCTTGCATAAGTATACACACGTTTTCTATTGATTCTGTTCCTGAAGAGAGCCCTATTACATGGTCCTAAGGAGGATCCCCGATTTCCCAGAGAATGATTGTGAGGGGTGTGTGTGTGTGTGTGTGTGTGTGTGTGTATGGAGTCTTGCGATGTGGCAGTTGTATCTGTGAGCTTCTTAGTGTCTCTTCAGCACGTGACATTTGTTTGCTGCACTGTGCAGTCTAACTAGTATCCTTGTTTGAGTTTATAGAAGTTGTTCGCAAGACGTAGCTTCTAGAGTGAGGGAGCTCTGCAAGGGGAATGTTACTGAAAGGAAGGGTCTTGAAGGTGTGTGGTGTGGTGTGGAAGGACATCCTGTGATCCTGAGCAGACCTTTCACAGTGCTGTCTGAACATACCTATTTCTTCCATTTTCCCTTGTTTCCAGAGTGTACACTCCTTGAACCTAAACTGTTAACAAACTTGATGTCTTATGATAACCCCTTTATCCTTTTACTGGAAAAATTAGGCAATTTAGGTATTTCGGCTTTGTGGAAAGATTAAAAATACTGGTTTTGAGTAGATAACTGACCTGTCCAGGGTCACAGGATATGTTGATGTCAGGTGCAGCTTGAATTTTTCATTAATATAATCTATTTTGCACATTAAAAAGAAGGGTTTGCTTAGTTTCTTATGGTTTTTTTGTTTTTATTTTTTGAGACAGGGTCTCATTATGTAGTTGAGACTGACCTGGAACTCACTATGTAGCCCAGGCTGGTCTCGAACTCATAGCGATCCTCCTGCCTCAGCCTCCTGAGTGCTGGGTTTACAGGCTTGCGCCACCACGCCCAGCAGATTTGCTTAGTTTTGAGATCATTTGGGTGACACTGAAATCAGCTTCACAGGAACACTGTTTTCAGATTTCAGATTTGGCCAGTGTTTGTTTTGTTTAGCTGAATTTTTTTAGTGCTGTTATTCCATCACCAAGTAACACCTGATAGGTAAGTTTTGAGCCGCTGAGCTACAATTCCCTGCTTAAAATGTTACTTCAAAATACCTTGTCCCAAATATACCCGTCGCTTCCTATCCACAGTACTTGCTGTGCATTATATGACCTGAAAGGCTTAGTAGCTGATGCATTTCCCACTTATTCTCAGTAATCTGTTCTTAAAAGTTATCAATTTTACATTATTTAAAAAGGGAAAATTAGACTATTTCAAACCAATAGCATGTAAAAAACAATTTTTTTTTTTTTTGGTACTGGGGATCGAACTTGGGTGCTTGTACTTGTGAGGCAGGCAGTGGAACCACTGAGCTAAATCCCCAGCCCAGTAAGAAAACAATTTCAATGTTCACATATAAGAAACAGATTTCTGATGAGTTGTAAAAACCTTACCATTCTCATCTTCAGACATTGCTTTGTTTGAACCATATAGCTTTAGCTACACTGCAGTCCATCCTTAATGTTTATTGTTTCTTTCAAAACTTTAAAAGTTTTTGTGTATTTTGTGTGTTGGAAGGTTTTTTTTTCCCCTACTTTCCCCAATATATTAAAAACATTGCATTCTGAGTCCTTACATATATCAGCCTTGTCTGTATAACATAAACCAAAATTTATTGGCTTAAGAGAAGAAACCATCTCATTTAATTTCAAACTGGAGTTACTGGGAGATTCCTAAGCTGGTGACGCCTGGGGTCACAGAGGAGCCTTTAGTCCCTTGGGACCTTGACTGAGGTCGCCTGGTTCCAGATGACTTCACTCCCTCAGGTGTCTGTGCTTGCTCTTAGGGAGGCTGCTATGTCTGGAGTGCGCTAGCCCCAGGCTTTCTCACAATCTGACTGTGTCCAGGAAGACAAGCCCCAGTGAGATGATTGGCTCAAGCTTTTCAAGCTTAGGTTTGTATCACATTCAGTGACATCTTTTGGCCAAATCCAGTCAGTGGCAAAGCCCAGGTCCTTGTCCTTGGGGACTGTTAGAGGCTGTGGGTACATGGAGGTGGCTCATGGAAACCAGTACAGGAACAGGGCATCAAGAAGTATACATTAAATACATTGTTTTCCTGTATGAGCTCGGGCAGAACATGGTGAGCTGCATGTGCATATTTCTGAGGACACTGGGCATGTGAAAGCCAGAGATGTAGAGGAAATGATCACATGGTCTCTGTGGAGCATTAATAGAAGAGTTCATGCAGTCCATGGTCATTCCTGTGAAATTAATGTAAATCAAGACATAATGGTGCTCTGGTTTAAATTACTAAGTTAATTATTAAGGGAACATTAATTGTTGGTAAACCAGTTGGTAATGTATGTTTCCATTAACCCAGTAATCAATTTTATATCTAATCTCTACCAATGAATGAACTTCTGAACTTGTGGGTACATGTTCAGTGGGTCCTTATTTCTCTTTTATTCCCGCTGCCATAGTTGTTTTGTTTGTTTTGGGGTTTTTTTTTGAGATAAGGTTTCACTCTGTAGTCCAGAGTGTCCTTGGACTTCCTGTATCGCTAGCCTGGCCTTGAATTTGAGCTTGTGATCTTCCTGCCTCAATCATGTGCCACCATGCTTGGCTTTTCTTGCTTTTCTTATGTAAGACTACTTCTACAGAGGGTTTCTTTTCTTTTCTTTCTTTTTTTTTCTGCTAATATGTGGTGTTTTGAGGGGAACAATCTAGGACCTGCCATGCTGGTACTCTCATGACCTTCCCACATTGTCTTTTCTTAGCTATCCATCTAGAGTCCTCCTCAAAATGTTCTCTGTGTGGACACAGTGAGTCCTCTGTGTGTTTCCAAGAGCAGCAAAAAATGAAGAAATCTCTGGTGAGTGGCTTGTTTATTCCTAAGCTTGTTTTACATTGTATTTTTCCAGCTTTATGGTATCTGCAAATTAAAATGGACTTGTAGAGTTGTGTAAGACTCAGCTTTAGGGAAATGGACATAAATAAGATAGCACTGACGTAGATAAAGACGGGAAATGTCACTGGTGGTAAATTTGTCTCTGGCCTTTCCGATTCATGATAAACAATAGACACTTTTGGCACATGATTCGGATGGAACCTGAGAAGAGAGCATGGTGACTTGTCATGGCACATAGTTGCTTACACCAAGAGCTAAAATATTATCTTTAGTGGTGACATAGAGGATGTAGTAGAATGTTTTTCACCACTGTCTTGAAAATGAACATTTCTAGTATTCCTCAGTGTAAACAGTTATCTGGAGCTGAAGGAAACGCTTACTCAGGTTGTTCTGGAGTTGCTGAAATAATGCATTGTCAGGCAGTTTTACAAGGTGGTACCTGATTCACGAATAAAAGCTTGGATGTCTGGCAGATTGAGTTGACTGTGAGTCATTCAGTGACTGTACCCGTGTCCCAGCCCATGTTCCCATGCAGTGCCTGCAGCAGACTGGTCACAGTGATGTTTCCTGGCAGATGGTTCCTCTTGCCTGTTTGCTCTTTAACCCACTTAATGTTGTCTTAGTTCAGTTTTCATACATTCATTAATAATTTGCAATTGTTTTCCATGTTCTATTTCTGGGAATTCTTTGTTAGTTACTGTCACAGCCTTTTTTGTCATGTTTTCCTTGCCTCTTTGAATTTTTGTGCTTGTTCACATAGCTCCTCCAAGTTATCCATATCTGGGGTCCCATTCTTTGCCCTCTGCATTTCTCCTCAGTAGATTTAGCTCTCTGTGGTTTGCACTCCTCTTTTCTCCAGGTTGTACTTACTCCCTCAGCATTAGACCAGAACTTCAAGTCTCAGAGATTTAACTCCCTGTTGGGTCATCTATGTGTCTTTCCAAAAGACATGTCAACCCTGCGAAACACAACCTTCTCTCTCCTGTTAAATACAGTATCAACTGCCTGACAAGTGCAAGTCCTGAGTTTGATCCCTGGTACCACAAAAAAAAAAAAAAAAAAAAAAAA